GAACGCGCACACCGGCCCGTCCGGCTTTTATTTTACGAACATGCTACACACCCGCCGAACATCGTACGATACTCGGAGGGTTTTCGAACATGTTCGTAAGTTTAAAGTCGCGCGACCTTACAGTAGTAGAGGTCGCACTGTTTCCACACACCTTGCGCTAATTGTACGATCGTGGCATTTCCTGCGATTATGCCCTTTCATTGTCCCATCAGCAGACTGGGCTGGGAGGGGGGACACCATTGTATTCTTTAACTAGAACAGAGAAAGTGGTGTCACTGTCCTGGCTGTGTGGCAGAGGTTTATGACTCACAAAATTTGGCAGATAAAACAATTCACAAAGGGTATTTCAGCTATGTATTCAGCCATTTTCCTGGAGTTCAGCTTTAATGAACCTACATAACCACAATCTGGGGACTGGAGCCCAATGAGTAAGGAGAACAATTTCCTGGGAGAGTACTTCTATAATGCGCAAGATCATCTTGAGGGAAGAAGCAATGAATTCCTGTATAGTATATTATCTACAGGGGCTTCTGCGCTCGACTTGAATGATATTAATTCCTGTATAGGATTGTTTATTATTACAGTCAGGTAGAAAACCTCAAACCCTGCGTGTTTGGGTGTATAGTAATTGCCACAAGGCTGGGCAGACCGCGTCCATAATCTGTCTGGCTTGGATAACCTAACAAACTGTAAAAGTCACACAGGCTGCACACACACACCCCCTTTACTGCCACTGTAAATCATATAAAATGCATTAAAAAGGTGAACTTCACTTCCATTTCTTCTTTTGGGGTATGCAGCCCCAGGGACATAACTTACCTCTAATGAAGTGCCCCATGTCCTGCCAGCTGCTGCCGAATGTAGAAGCCTTCCCTCCAGTGACACTGGATACTCCCCACATCTTCCGGTAGTGCAGGGGTTAAGATCAGCGGCTGTCAACCATCAGTGCTGCCACCTTCCTTTCTACTCTTTCACAGAACTCACAGAATTCCAAACGTCCTGTAAATGGAGGAACTACAGCCTCCAGCCATATAATGCTATGCATTCTGGAAAAGACTAGTACAGGATCTGTGAACGGAAAGGTGATGGCGAGCACCACGTACACTTCAGACGCAGCCACTGATCTTAACCCCCACAACGATGGAAGATTAGTGGTGTGGGGAATATCCAGCAACACTAGAGGGCAGATTTCTACACTAAAACAGCAGAACATGGGACACTTCATTAGAGGACAGTTATGTCCCTGGTGCTGTATACCCAAAAAAAAAAACCCCATTACTAAACTTCAGCTTTAAAAAGGAAGAACTCTGGGCAGAATTTTTCCTAACCCTTGCAGTGAGGCTACCCCCACATTGCAAGGGTTAACTGCTCGTTTTGGTCTAGCTGAAATGATCCTATGAAATGAAAAGGGCACCTCCCTGTAATTGCTTCCTATGTGTTCTAGCGGTGACCTGCGTTCATCTGATCTCCAGTATAAAATAAACCCTTACAGTGAGGTACTCCCACATTGCAATTGTTAAACCATGGGGGGGGGA